TCTAGAAGGAACCAGTTTCTACCAATTCCCTATTAAAGTGCACCCAGAATGATTTTGGTTGTGTCCTGCCCTCTAAAAGTGCCTTTTCCTATGCACAACGCCCAGGAGATTGCCCGGCTGAAGGAGGAAGCCAACAAGACGGCTGACGGCGTCCTCGCCCTGGAGAAGGCGGTGGCCACCCTGCGGCACGAGGCCAAGGAGGTGGATGATGCATTTGAGAGGAAACTCTCGGAGGTCCAGGCGGACGCTGCTGTGATAGAGAAGGTGGGTCCCCATCTCCCTTGCCTTGTCTCCTTCCCTGTTGACTTGTGGGCTTGATTTAACCTTACAGCTCCTGCCTTTCCCCCTTCAGACAGCTCAGGAAGCTCAGAGGGTCCACGACAAGGCTGGCCAGGCAGGGGCAGCTGTGCAGAAGATGCTGAGTGCCCTGGAAGAGCTGCTGCGTCTCATGAGTAGGTTTTGTGATGCCACTGTGGGGTGTGGATGGAGACAGGTCCCCACTGGGGTCCACGCAGGGCTTCTGGGAGTTTAGTGGGAAGCTAAATTACGTGGTTGGGCAGTAGGGTGGAGATGAAGTATCTAGGAAGATCTAGTCCTCAGCCTCCATGCATGCTTTCCCATGCCTTGTTTTCCTTCTGTGCAAAAGACCAGCCTGGTGCTGTGGATGAGGACGGCCTGAGGCAGCTTGAGGCGAATTTCAGCAAAGTCAAAAGCAGAAGCAAGCAGCTGAAGGCGGAGATGTCGGAGCTGGAGCAGACGGCTGCCCTGCAGAAGGCCCGGGTGCAAATGCTGGAGAGCAGCATCGATGGCATCCTGGCTGATATTAAGAACCTGGAGGATATCCAGAGGAGTCTTCCTCCAGGCTGCTACAACACAAAAGCCATTGAATTGCCATGAGCCAGCTCTGGAAAGGCTGCAGCACCTGCCAGGAGGGCCTCCCCAAATCTGGCAGAACTGGCTGTGTTTGGTTGTGTAAAACTGATCCTTACCCTCAAGATCAGTGGGGCAGATGAAGTTCACAATGTTCTGCTGGCCCTGGAAAGTCCCTAATTTTTCCAAGTGCTCCGTCCCTTGCTCATGGGAGGAAGGAGATTCCTGGTTTGTGAAGGTGCTGCTGTCTGAAGAACAGCCCATTCCTACAATAACATATCTCTGAGGTGCAGGGTTGGGTGTCAGCCTTGTGAGTTTGCACAGTTTGGACGCTGAAGCTCATAACTGACAGGTTCTCCATCACCTGTGGATACCCTGTCCTGGTCCGGCACACACAGAAGGACCAGGGTCTCTGTCCATGCTTTTGACACTGCCACCACCAGCTCCACCTCCTGTTCTCCATGGGGTTTTCCTCACCTTCAGCAGCCACAGGGAGCAAGCAGCATGAGGCTGCTGGGGGAGATGAGTTCTGAGTTGAGGCACTGGTGATGCTTCATGAGGCGTCTCCTCCCAGGCTGGCAGTCCTCCCCTTGCTGGGAGTGGTGCTGGCATGCTGTGGCTCCTGTACCTGAGAACCCCATCCCATTCTGCTGCAGTGCCTGTAGCCTGATTTCAGTAGCTTAAAAATAGTGAAGATGTCTTTAATGTGTCTCCAGCTCTGGTTTGGTGCTGCCTGTCCTCCTCCCTCCCTCATGGTATGTTTCTCAGAGGCCACCATCACCACCAAGGTAGCTCTCCACAGGGGTTTCCCACTGTTCATCTTAACAGAGCTTGGATGAGGCAAAGACACAGTGCTCCCTTCACCCTTCACTGCAGCTCTCATGTGGGTCCAGCTGCATTCTGGGACACTGCACACTGCTCCCACCTTCCTTCAGATGCCATGCAGGGGAAAAAAGTTTCTGGGGAAATAAGTGCCACCAGATGCTGGAAGCTGAAGCTCTGCTGAAGCCCCTGCTCTACCTGCTGGTGAAAGAGGAGGTCCCAGATGGAGAAGGACACTGGGGACCCACTCACCCCTCCTTATCTCTCGAGTCTCTGATAAAGTGGTATCTGATAAAGCAGCACATGTGCTTTTGCTTCATGATATACCGACTATTATGTCTGCTTTACACTTTTATTTAAGTGAGATGTATTTTAGCCCCTAGCATGTCCCTTCTCCTGTTGTACAGCGTAGGGACAGCTATTAGGGAACCTGTTTTTCCATGAGTTGGCTTTTTTGAAAGGTAGGTGTAGGCACAGAGTTTGTGGTGATTGTGAGTGGGGCTGGCCCAGCCTCATCCCCAGTGGCACAGCTGTGAGCAGCAGGTGAGCAGCACTGACAGCAATGAGCCATGGAGTGCCCAGGGGCACTGAGCAACCACCAAAGGGAGCAGAGGGACACAGGGGCACTGCATCAGCATGGGGGGATAAAAGGCTGGGCTACAGGACAAGAAGGGTGGACATTTGAAGCCTTCTGAAATGATGTTACTCTCTGTGGGTTGAAGCTTTCTGAAGTTGTGTGGTGATACTCTGTGTACTGTGGCTGCCTCAACTGTGACAGGTAAGAGGTCAATAAATGATGAATACTCTTGGCTAGACCTTGCTTATAACTTTCTTTTTTCAGGCTTCCTCATTTGGGGGGGTTTGGCCATGGGTTATCCCAGTAGTGCAGGCATTTGCTCTCTTGTTCTGACTCAGTCTTGGGGCTGTTTTAAAATCACACCAGTAACATCTCTGTTTTGTTTTGTTTATTACATAATTTAAACATTTTGCTGATAAAGTATTTTTTGTCAATGACTGTTCTTTCATATAGCAACAGAAAAAAGAAAAAAAAAAGGCTCCAAAACTTTTGACAAAGGTGAAATTGGTGGCATGGCAACTTCAACCCCTTTCCCTCCCCCCTTTATTTATTTTCTTTCCCCAAAAGACATTTGAAGTTCATTTCACTTTCAGCAAATTGACTGTTAAAAAGTGGCGGTTCAAATACCAAAACCCACGAGCTTCTTCCCATGCCTCTCCTGCACCCTGGAAACCCCCATCCTCACCTCCCCAGCAGTCACATGGATCATCACAGATGATTATTTTCTTCCCATGCCCACCCAAAGACATTTTTCCAAACCAGTCCCGGAGCTGAAGGCCCCATTACAAACCCCTGTCCCTCCCCCCATCCTGTGAGTTTTACTGGGTGGGTACACGAAGGTAAGAGCAGTAGGACAGAACAAACTCCTCATCCTCACCACAGCTAAGCTCCACCATCCCAACCCCATGGATCAGGAAGCCATGGCTTTCCCAGGTCCCCTTCTGTGTACTGGAGGGAGGATCAGAGATGATTTTCACACATGACTCTTTCTTTCTTCCCCCCTCTCCATTGTTTAATTTTCTGTCTTTCCTTGGGGAAAACCCACTCTCTTTGCTCCCACCTCAGAGGTGTCGCTTCCCAGGAGGTTCAGTCCCTCTTGTGTTTTGGAGGCTGGTTGCCACCATTGCTGTTTCTCTGGCTTGGAGCTGAGAAACACATCTGGAAAGGAGGGGACTTTGCTGTCTGGGATAACTTGTGCATTGGGGTGGACAGGCAAGGGAGGCAGACAGAGTGTGTGAGAGCAGTCCAGCGGTGGCTGACATACACTGGGTGTCCCAGGGCACTCGGGGGTGTCACTGCCAGGCGAGCTCTCTGGGGTGGTGGTGGTGACCTGGCTGAAGAGTCACCTGGAGCAGAGTCCCACACACACACTCGCCACCTTCTCTGCTTTGACATCTCCATGTCTCCTCATCCTATGGGATACCTAGCCTACCACCTGGAGGTACCAGAGCTGGCACTGAGGGACTCAGCTGCCAAATTTAGAACAGTTCCCAAACTCATTTCTCTGTGCAGAGGGAAATCCTTGGCAAGGAAACACCTCTTCTAGCCTTTGGGTGAGTCACATCACTTCTGCATTTCTGGGAAGGGCTGTGCCTTCCTGAGAAGTTGTCAACTACTGCTCCTGGAATCCTGTCTGCTGCAAGGACCCCGTGGCTGTCTGTTTCCTTGTTTGTCCAAAGTGGCTTGTTTTTCCATGGATGCCAGCAGCACACAGCAGGTCACCAAATTTAGCACAAAGTCTCACCTTTGGAGCTTGCCTGAGAGCTACTTGTGACCCTTATGGACATTAAAGGGACAAAATAAATTAATTTCACATCTTTCCTTGAAAGACCCTGGAGGACTCTCAGCCATAGGCAAAAGGACTGTACCCAAGGTGATAAAATGTTACAGGGAGCAAAGGGAGTGAAGGTGAGGGCTAAACCTTCCTCATGGCTGTGACCCTCCCCAGGAGCTGTTCAGGGTCCTTGTGCCCTAGGGATGATCAGCAGGACAAGGCCCTGCTCCAGCAACCCTCCTCTCCACAAGACTTCAGTAACTGCTCCACATTACCTGACTTGCTTTTACTGTGAGCATCTCCACTAGGATCCATCCCTGGCATCGGGGTGTACCAGAGGCAGGAGCTTGGCCTGTCCCAAGGGATGTGCAAAGTAGCCATGGCTGGTTTGGGAGGGGGAGGTTATCATGCATTTAATGAACTCTTCAAGGAGAGGCAGAGAGTAGGAGTGGCAGGAGAAGATGGATGGAGCAGAAATGGAGATCTGGAGGGTAGAGGAGGGGGATGGACGTGGCCAGGTTTGGGGCAAATTCTCACCAGAGGCTTTGGCTCACCACCTGCTTCTTTCTACCCCATTTCACGGCCCCATAAAAGGCAGATCCCTTTTTAGATGCTGTGGGATGCCCCCTCTGACACTGGGTAAGAGTAGAACATCACCCCAGCTTCACTTTCCTAGGGAGTGGCTTCAGTTCTTGCAGCTAGGGGAAGGTGAGATGTGACATTCTCTCCGTAATGCTTCAGCAGCAGTGCTTACCAAGGCCTCTGCTGCCTTTTAGAAATGCTCTCTCCGTGGTTTTCAGGGGCAGGAGGAGGATTTTGTTAGCTGGGCTGTCTCATGGCTGGCCTGAGGAGATTCCCCTGCCGTGGGCACTGAGCTGTTGTTACTACTGGCTGCTGCCAACCAGGGTTTTGTTGGTCACTGGGCTGAGAGGCCCAAAGGGCTCACACTAAAGTTACTTAATTAAAAAAAATCCACCCCGATTTATTGAGCTTAGGTTGTGTAAGATGATGCAGAATAGGCAGCCCCTGCTCTGAGCATGCTGGGAAGATGGACTGAGGGGACCATTTCCCAGGAACATGCTGGGAGCACACGGAGCATGTCGCTCCCTGACCAGCCCCTCCTCCCTCCCCATGCACACAGGGCAGGGCAGTACCCCCGAAAAAGAGACCAAACCATTCCCTGGACATGGCTGCACAACAGAGTGTTGGTGCTGGGGGTGAGAGGCAGACACGGGCAGGAGGCCATGGGATGGGGAGAGAGATGGAGACACGGACTGAGAGAGAGAGAAGAGAGATGCAGAGCTGTAGGCAGGCGGGACGCGAGGGCGGTCTCGCTGCGGGGGCTCGGGCACTTAGCCAGAGGCGTTGATGTAGAGCTGGCTCTTGAGGATGTAGTCAATGACAGGCTGGCAGAGGTAATCCACAACGTGTCCATCCCCGTGCTGCAGGGCCAGTCTGGGGGCGTGGGGAGAGAGAAAGGTGTCAGAGCCCACTTGGGTGGGTCAGGTGCCCCTGCAAATGGACAGGCAGGCTGGGGACATCCTGCTGGACACCCTGCTCTGTAGTGGGAGTAGCCCTGCTTCACTCACCTGCTTTTGGTGGAGCTGACAACTGACATGGGGTGGTTTGAGTCATCCTTCACCACCAGGATGTTGTTCTGCAGGGGAAAGAGGAAAGCAGGAATGAAGGGATGGCTTGAAATCAGATATCTGCTGCTCCAGCCTCCCCACCCTGCTGTGTGGTGACCCATTGCTCATCCCATCCATCACCTGAGAGCACCTGACCCTGAGATGCTTTGTGTCCCATGACAAAACTGTCCCCCTGGGTGGAGAGAGACTGTGAGTTCTCTCACAGCCTTCCCTGGCCACAGGTGCACCCACTGACTCACTTTGTACTTGCGGAGTATGGAGGAGTGGTTCATGATCCGCTCAGGGTCTGCTCCATCCCGGGGCACCACCACAATCCCAAACTCCCCGACAATCACCTCCATCTGGGAACAACACAGAGTGTGGAGAGCTTTACAGCCGCCCCATGCAAAACCTGCCACCATCTGCCAACCCCACCCTGCCCTATGAAAGCTGGACCATGGTCTGGAGGGAGATGGTGAGTGATTTTGAGGCTATGTCAACAACCTTTGGCAGAAACATGGAATTATGCAGGCAAATGGTCAGCAGTAAATCAAATAAAAGGCACAAGGTTAAATTCTGTTAGTGGATGTTGAGGTCAGGCTTTGAGGAGAACTTGTGGCAGAAGGAGGTGACAGCAGAAGAAGTTGCCCAAGGTGAATGTGATCTCTGCCTCGCTGGAAGGGCTCATGAGCAGGATGGATGTATTGGTCCTGACAGAGGTCTGAGAGGATTGTTCTGCCAAGCTTGTTTGCCCAAATTTGCTGCTGCATGAGGGCTACTAGTGCTCACACCTCTCTCAGATGAGACAAATCAGGCTCGTCCAAAAGAGCTTTGGGTCAGTAAGTTCAGGCAGCAGGAGTCTATGAGGAGGGACTGCTGCAGAATGCATCTTCTGCCTGTGCTTTGATGTCATTTCTGCATCCTTTGTGCTGGGCTCAGGGCTTGGCTTGTGTCAGTTTTTCCAGCCTTTCAAAGATGCCTGCTGCCTAAATGCTTTAAAAAGTTAAGGATTGAAGATGTGGTAACGGATTTTAGAAAGCTGAGAAGTTCAAGGAGGGAGGTTTGTTTTGACTGACTGCTTTTAGGGAGGAGCTGGGAGGGCCCTCACAGCCAGCATGGCTCCAACCAGGAGCAGCTGATGGGTCAGCAGCCCAGCCCCTCTCCAGGGCTGGTGTTCTCCCATGAAAATATGGCTTCTTCCAGCAAGGACCAACAGTGAAAGGTGTTGATTTGGCTCTAAATATGTTTAATTCCTAACATCTGGACCACTCCTGTAAATACCTTATTTCCTACCTGCATACCTCGCTCTGCTAGGACTGTCATCTGCTTGATACTGGCTCCTTCCAAGGGACAAGGAGTGGGAGCACAGCCTTTGGGATGGGCTTACCCTCCACCCCAGGTGACATCCTCTGCACTAACAGTGAACAGGGTACAGGTTTGGGACCATGGAAGCCCTGTGGAAATGTGCAGGGGAGATGACAGTCAGGGTTGGGATGGAGGAGGCAGTGGAGATGGTGGGCACAGCTCCTGTCATCCCAAGGGATTTAGCGGCTCCAGGAGCACTGGCTGTGGGAGGCAGAGGAGGAGGAGCATGGAGGGGTTTCTGGCAGTGGTGACTCACATCTGCCTCGTTCCAGAGGCCAGGGATGCAGAAGGACTCCAGCAGGTCGCTGCCACAGAGCAGCAAGATGCGAAGCTCTGGAAAAGAGAGGAGAGAAGCCCAGAGGTGGGAGCACAGGGGGCTGAGAAAGAACCCCCTCTCCCCCCCGCCAGCTTTGAGGGTTGGCTTTGCTGCTCAGCAAGAAAATGGTGCTGTGAGAAGTCTTCTGCTCTGACAGGCCCATAAAGATTAATTTATTTGCACAACTGCCCGATAAAAGCCATAAAACCATCCACCGCAGAGGGGTGAGAAGAGGTGGCTACATGGGAAAATGCCTCCCTGTTTGGCATTCCCAGGTGGCCAAAGACTTTAGGCTCTGCATGGTGCTAGTGCCAGGCTGGCTGTAGTCCCAGGCTATGCGTGAAAAGGGTTTCAAAACCACGAGCCAACTCCCCATGCAGAGCTCTGGGTGATGTCTGCTGGGGCTAAAACCCCAAAAAGTCTTTAGAGCAAGAGGCACCGTGGCTGGTCAGGCACCAAAACGTCTCCTGCTGCTCCATGAGGCTCTGCAGGGCTGCAGGCAGTGTGGGCATAGGGTGACACCACCATGGGAGGCCAAGTTTGATGGCACTTAAGGGGACTCTCAGGACAGGGTGCCATGGCAGGTCTGTGCCAGTGCTGGGAGCTGTGTCCCCACTTCACTCCCTTATTTCAGACTGTTGTCTGTCAACAGGACTAGGCTCAGCCCAGTTAGAGCTGTTTCTGTTGCATTCCTGAGCCCCAGTAGCTGGCTCCAAGGTGACATGGTCCTGTGTCTGCCAGCTGTCATGCAGATGCTCCCAAGCCATGCAGCGCTCGCCCAGAGGAGTGGGAGCAATGTGGAGAGGGGCTGTGTACTTACCAATCTCCTCATATCTCATCACTGTCCCCAGGTTGGCATTTTCATCTGAGAAAAGGCAGCAAAAGAGAGGTGCTGGTGCCCAGCCTCGAAGAGGGGTGGGGAGGAAGGGTGGGGAGTGGGTCTCTAGAGGTGATGCTGGACCTTTCCTCTACATACCCACAAAGGTGAAGCGCTCCATGGGCGGGCGAACGCAGCAAATCCGGCTCAGGCTTTCTCCCACCTTCCCCAAGATCTTTGCTAAAGGGGAAGAAGGAAAATTCATGGGAGGGAGGCTGTGCAATTAACCTGTCCACGTGCTTCAGCCACCCTGGTTCTGCAAAATGCTCCTGTGCCTGGGTGTGCAACTACTCCCAGCATTTCCCAACAGCTCCTCATGGTCTTAACTCCCAAGAATCCCCACTGTGCCTTGAAGGGACCAGCTAGACAGATAAAATCATGAAGAAAATCATAAGATGTCCATTTTTATGGGATTTAAGTAATGTTCCCTCTTCTCAGCTAATTCTTTTATGGTGTGCATTCCTCTGTCTCGTCCTACAAGTGAATCCCACTATATCATCTCTCCTGCCAGTTCATCCCTTGGTACCAGGCAGCCTTTCCTTTTGTTGGTCTCACTGCCTAGACATCATCCAGCTGAAGTCCAAGGAGATTCACAGCCATCCTAAGCTGTTCTTGTGTTCTGCCCTTGCTGTGCTGGATACTGACTCCTGCATCACACCCCTGCCCCACCCTGGACTTGCTGCGCCAGGACTGATGAGACGCCTGTCCAAAAATAAGGTGATGGAGCAGTGGTCTAATATTTGGCATTCCTGGCTGGAGGTGGGGGTAAGTAGCCACGCCTCCCTTCCCACCCCGCCCCACGTACCCGCGGTGGGCTTGCTGGAGACGTTGTTGTTGTTCTGGTAGATGTTCTGCGAGGACTCGTTCTGCGGCTGGCCGATCACAGGGGTGATGGAGGGTGTGTTGACATTGGAGAGGATGCAGCCAGTCACTCTCTGCAATCAGGGAAGGATGTAGTTGGAACAGTGTCTTCACCCCAGCACCCTTGCAAAACCTTTCTGACCCTGCAACAAGCCTCTGCAGTCCTGGTTCAAGGTTACCTTTTGTCACAGGTACATCCCAGCCACTTTAGGGTCTCCAGTCCCATCTGACCTCACCAAATGGGCCTGGGGCTATCAGGACCCTGTGGATAATGACTTGTGTTTAAGGTGGTATCACCTTTTTTGTGTGGGCTAGCAAGGAGCATACATGTCCTCTTCTCCAGCCATCCCAGCAGGAACAGGAAGGTATCACCAGCAACTACCTGGCTTCAGCACCACAGTCCCTGGATGCACTGGACATCCTGCTGGGCTGGCTAATGCTCCCCCTGTGCCTCCTGTCTGGGCTGTCCATGAGTTTGTGCAATGCTCTTTCATCCATTCCCTGTCTTTGGTTTTCTTCCTATATCTGAGTGTACCAGCAGCTCTGCCACCCCTGTCACCCAAGGGCAGTCACCTTCCTCCTTGGCTTTCAGGACTGCCTAGAACTTTTCCTCCTGGGGTTGTGCTCCCTGGGGACTTCTCAGATGCTGAATTTTCCTGTCAAATCTCTCTGTCAGGTTCATAGAGTAGTTCTGGCTCAGCTGGTGAGCGGGGAGTCCCTCCCTCAGCGAGGAGGGAGCAGTGTGTCACTACTGATGTGGTTTATGCCCGCCCCTGCTTTGAGTCTGCCTTAAGCCCTGCTGCCCTCCTGGTGTTGCTGGGTCCAGGTTGGCTGCTGGCTCCAGCTGGAGGACTCCATTTCCTTCTGCCATCAGGGCCCAGACCTCAAAGCAGCTGTGACAAGGTCTCGCCCCTCCCAGGTCTGGATTTCACTGTGTTCCTGCAAGTCTTCTCGCTCTGTCTCTGATGTGTTTTGATTGTTGATGGCCATGAGCTGGGGAAGGGCACCCCCACCCCTGCACTGTCCCCATGCCCTCACCCTGGTGCACCCACGGTGTGGGGGCTGCCTCACCTTCATCAGGTCACGGTGGTGCTCCAGCACACTGCAGGTGGTCTGCCAGGTGTCCTGGTAGCACTCCCAGGGGTCCACCCTGCCGGAAGCACAGCAAGGAAACAGTGTCACTCATGGCCACTGCCTGGAGCTCCTGCCCACGCCACCTCCTCCCCACTGGGCTGGCCAGCAGTGCCATGAGCAGTCATCATCAATCCCTGAGCCCTGGCATGGACCATGTCCCTCCTCCAGCCCTTCTGCACTGTGATCCCTAACAGCTCTGGGGACCTGAATGTCTGCCTGGTCATCTTTCCATGCTTGGTACCCAACTAACCAGCTTTTTTTGGCTCGGATGTGACCGTGTGTGTCATAACCCTCTTTCTGAGGGCAGCCCAAGATGCTTCTGGTGTCACTTCAAGCACCAGATGCCACATGGCAGTGCTGGGAAGGTGAAAGTCTGCAGGCTGGTGCTACATGTGAGGACAGGGGAAGTGCCACAGCACAAGGCTGGAGTGAGCCGAGTGACTTTGGGTATCACCCAGACACCAGAGGCTCAGGGAGGGGCTTGAATGACTCCCCAAATCCTGAGGGCTCCCTTGAAGGGCAGTCTAACCCTCCTTGTCTGTTCTCTGCTGGACTGGGAGCAGAAGGTCTCTGATTTTCAGTCAAGCTCGGGCTGGGAGAAAATGGAGAAAATTCATCCTGGAGCTCTACCAGCTGGTGGCATCTCCACTTTGCATGCAGGACTTTGCCCCCACGGCGCAGGGAAGGGGCAGGGGCTGCTGGTGCCAGCTCTGCATCAGCCACCCACCTGATCCAGTCGGAGGACTGCACGGCCAGCTGGCACATGGTCAGGCGGTGCCGGCTGGAGACCAGCCCCTGCACAAGAAGGGGAAGAAGAAGAGTTATGAAGCCTTATGCTCTGGCCAGCCTGGGCTTGCAAACACTTGCAAACCCTTCCTGCCCACAGAAGTTTGTTTAAGCTCCTGTTTGCTGGCGGGGAGCAGTCTCTGCTGGGCTCAGCCCTGGCTACGTGCTTGGGTGGTGAGATTTGCTCAGCAGCACCACTCCAGACCTGTGCTCCAAGGGGGCCAACCTGAGGGGCTGGTTTCTTGATGAAATTCCTCCAGCTTTCAGGAGACAAGTGAGCTCACCACTCCTAATTTGACAAGTGCTTCTAAAGGTCACTCATTTGCATAATTTCAATATTCCCGCCCCCCCCCAAAACCCCAATTTGCTTTGAAATAATTCAAACTAAAAAACCCCCACTTAAGGCATCATCACCACGACCATTTTGGATGGGAATGTTTGTACTTTGGCTCATTTTAGGGCCTCACTGCAGTTTTTATCTAAACAGCGAGAGGTTTCATCCTCTCCCTTCTCTCCGCGGCTTTCCCAAGGTCGGGAGCTGCCCCAGGCAGAAGAGGGCCATGAAGGGACCGCAGGTCAGGCAATGCTGCCCAGCGCTGAGCCCTAGTTTTGCAGAAGCCACCTCAGAGAGGAGGCAGAAGGGCAATGGGGCCAACGCACCGTTTTCCCGTAGGAGTCGTGCACGGGCGAGACGATGCCACCGATGACAATGAAGCGTCCGGTCTTGTGCAGGTAATCCCGGGCTCGCTCTGGACAGGGGGCAAGGAAAAGGGTGGAGGGGGGTTTAGCAGGGCCCAGCCAGCCCCTCCGCAGCCACACAGCTGTTACACCCCTCCCTGGCCTGTGTCAGCACCTTGTGCTGCCCGTGTCCCAGCTGTGCTGAGAGGTGTTCAGTTTCAGGCTGGTATTTCCTAAAGGTGGCATTTGAGGATAAAAGTGCTCGTGACAAACTGCCAAACCCACCTGATCTCCTACATGTCTACCCCAGCTGTTGAGACAGTAGCAAGGGAAAAGAAGACATGAAGGTAAGAGCAAACAGGCAGGTAAGATTGATGAGCCATTAGAAAGTTAACTTTTTCTTCAAGGTCTACAAAATATTTTGGATTTGCAAATAAAAGGAGCATTTCTGAAATGGAGGTGGTGATTTCAGGATCCATCAGCCATCCCAAGATGTCACTGTGCATCACATCTTTCAGACACTGAACTCAGTGTCTGGCACTGCCCTGGGGGATGGTGAGAGGTCCTTCCTGAGGGGCGGGTGTTCCCAGTGGAGCAGTGGCTGTCACATCCCTGGAAGTGTCCAAGGCCAGGTTGGATGGGGCTTGAGGCAACCTGGGTTAGTGGAACATGTCCCTGCTCATGGCAGGGGCTGAAATGGGATGAGCTTTGAGGTCCCTTTCAACCCAAACCATTCCAGGATTCTAAGTCACTTTTGGGCAAATTTTTTTTCCTCCAAATTTTTTAAATTTCTGCTAGGGAATATTATTCAGTTACTGTCAGTTGAAAGTAAATTAAGGAAATATAATTGCCATGCACTTTTTTCCCCCCCTTGAGGGCATTGAGCAGCCTCAGGCCTCTGTTGACAGCCTGTGGGAAATTTGCCAGCCTTAATATAGCCTCTTCCTCAGACTCACCTGAAATCCTCACTCTGGCTGCCTTCCCAGCTCTTGTGCCTTGGACACACCAGCCTCCAGAGAGGGAAAAGTGGGCTTAAATCATTTGATTGGTGCAGGGAGTAGAATTTGATTGCCTGAATTGGATGCACCAAAATTATCCTTCCTGCCCTCAAAATCCCATGAGAGCACATGCAGCAAAACACAGTATGCTTGGGTTTGGTTTTTTTGCACAGGTAGGGAGAAGCAAAGATTGATGGATCAGCATTTCCCTTTTTATCATAATGCAAATTAAAATGCAAATTACAAGAAAAAGGAAATTCCCTAACAAAAAAGGTACCGTTGAATTTTAAATGAACACATTCTTTCATTATTTCCTGATTTGCCCTGACTTGACTTTCCCTGCCAAAGGAAGATTATAAACATTGATCTGTCCCTCTTCACTGTGACCCCTTTATAAAATGCATCTTTCAGAGGGGCTGAACTCTTTGCATGCAAACTCTGCTTCAAGCTCTCAGGGGTGGCCAATGGTATTAATTTGCCTTGAGTTCTTGTTGGCAAAAGCCAAAGGTGTTTCCTGGCTACCAATATCTCAAGGTCTGTATTTAAACAGTCTGGCACCCTCTCCATATCTTCAGGCAATGTGACCCGTGCTGCTGGCATGTCATCTCAGCTCCAGCTCCCACCAAACATCCACCACCACCTTCTGCCTTAACAGAGCATTTCTCCTGCAGAAAACAGGCACTGGCACAGGATGCCCTGAGAAGTTTTGGATACCTCATCCTTGGAAGTGTCTGAGGCCAGGTAGGCAGGGGTTTGGAGCAATCTGCCCTAGTGAAAGGTGTCCCTGCCCATGGCACTGATCTGAGAGGTTGTTAATGGCCTTGCAGCACTCAGGGGAGGTTCTGCTGCTGGCAGGAGAGGGGTGCTGCTGCTCTGTATTGCCATCAAAACTGCTCATTGGGGTTTTAAGCTGCACAATCTGTAAAAATGAGGTTGCTTTCAAGCTGGGATCTGCATTTCCAAGAGCTTGTTGTCTACCTCAGAAGCACCACATGTAATTTAAATATGCTTGGAAACAGCAACATATTTATTGACAATTAAATCCCTGCAAGGGAAGTATTTGGGCAAATGTGGGCTAAGAAGCAGCAGTGTGGTGTAGGGAATGGCAAAACCTGCCTCCTGGCTCTGGCTTGCCCACAACTTGCAGAGCACCCTTTGACATCCCAGACTGGCCTGCTCTCACTTGGTTTTGGGGCAGAGCACACTGTTTGCTTGCAGGGCTGTGTCTGCCAGGAAACTCTGCAGCTTCACTTGTTCATACAACCATCAGCTAAGCCAGTCCTCACAGCCCTCCACTTCAAAACAAAAGCCTTTGAAAAGATTGCATTCTCTTAAATAACACCTCAAATCCTGTTTGGAGAGCAGCTGTGTCACTGGTAGGGCTGGCATGGTGACAGGAGCAGCTGTCCTCACTGCTGGGATGGTGGCAGAGGATTTGGGGCAGGGGACACTGTGGCTTCAGGGTGACAAAAAGAAAAACTCTGAGGGCCTGTAGCATGTCCAGAGAAGGGAACAGAGCTGGGGAAGGGTCTGGAGCACCAGGAGTGGCTGAGGGAGCTGGGTAGGTGCTCAGCCAGGAGAAAATAAGGCTTAAGGGGGACCTTCTGGCTCTCTGCAATTCCCTGGTGGTGGAGCCAGGTGGGAGTCAGGCTCTGCTCCCAGGGAACCAGGGACAGGACAAGAGGAAATGGGTGTAGATGGGATATTGGGAAAAATTTCTTCATGTAGATGGTTGTCAAGCCCTGGCACAGCTGCCCAGGGCAGTGGAGGAGTTCCTGCCCCAGAGAGATTTAAAAGTGGAGGTGGCACTTGGGGACATGGGTTAGTGGTGGCCTTGGCAGTGATGGGTTAAGAGCTGTACTCAATGTAAAAGGTATTTTCCAACCTAGATGATCCATTATTTTGTGATTCTAAAATTGCAGTGTTAGTTTGCAGCATCTACATGTGTCCTGCAATCATGCTGCTGTGTTTAAAGCTTATTTTTATTTTTTTTACAGTTTGAATCTCCTTAGGCTGATGCACCCTTCAGTGGCTAAATGAGGGCCAATAGTCCATCATAGCAAACCTGTCCTGATGTGTTAGTTCATCAGGCCTCGAGCCCTCCCCTCTGCACAAGGCCAGACAAAACTGCTTTAGCTCTTGTAAGAGACCTCAGGGGTGCTGGTGGCTCGTGGCCCACCCTGGGCTGAGGGTGCAGTGCCTCCTGCCATGGTTTGTGCCCCTGGCACAAGCTGCAGGAGTGGATCCCAGCAGCAGTCATTCCTCTGGGTTTCTGGAAACAGGGCGCTGGATTTTGTGGGTCATTGCTTCAAATGCTGTGGCTGCTTTGATCTTGCAGTGCTTGCTCCAAGCCCTCAAGTCCATTTTTTCAGAAAAGGCCTTTTTCTTTCACAGAAATTGTTATGCCTTTCTTGCAAAATATGCTGCTTGTGGGGGTCAGGCTCATGGTCTCCTTGTAGACATGGCTAGAGCCAAAGACACTGCAGCAGGTTGGTATTCCTGCTCTCAGGTGTATTCCTTATGGTCAGCTGTCTGCAGCTCCCAGCCTTCCTTCCCTGCTCGTGCAAAGATTTTTGCCTGGGGAGAAGTAGATTTTGGCCTGAAAAGTCCTAAGTCTTTGGCATCTTTGCTCCACTTCTCTGACAATTAGTTGGGTATCTGGCCCGTTTGTTGTCCTTGAGCTCAGCCCTCTGCCACAGCTTCCCGTCCCTTTCCCAGCCCATTTCTTGCCTGTTGAATACCTGTGATGTGCAGAGATTACACCAGACCACAGAAAACCCCTCCAGTACTTTATATCCTGCCACACCAATGCAGGGATGTCAGCTTGTAAACGCAGGGCTCATTCCTTTTCTGGAGTAAATAGTCCATAATGCTCCAGGCAGCCTGGATGGCTTTTAGACATTGTTAACACAAATAAACTTGGGGCGATGGCTCTGCCAAGACATGCATTAGCCCCCTGGCAGCCTACTTGTGGCACGGGAAGCTTTCAGCCATGGCTCTGTGCCTGGCAGCTGCTGGGTGACCACAGCCTTGCTGTGCTGGGGAGGGGAGGGACAGGGGTGACACTTGAACCCATCCCAGGCGCTGGTGACACTTTCCTGCTTTCCCAGCCCGGCTTTGCTCACCTGCCCTGCAAGTGCACTTCAGGTGTTTTCATCTCTGCTGCTTTCCTGAGAGATGGTGATAGGGAAAGACCAGTCAGAGGATATGCTACAGGGCTGCAAAACTGAAAAGTGATGGTTTTGTCCAGTTTGAATGAAAAAATAGCATCCTATTTCCCCAACAGGAAATCAGTCCTTATTTAAGACATGTTTCTTTTTGGAGGTTCTCCCTGAGAATATTTAATCACAATGTTTGGGCTCCTCTGGCAGGGCTCCATCACCTAAATTGATGTTACTGAAATCAAATATTCCTCATGCTTAATTTTTCAAGGTGTAATTTCAAATTGTATTTGCTTTGCCTTTGTACCTGGTTCACCTGCACCCCTAAGACTTCCTTTTTTTATATTTTTGTTTTTCTTACAACAAGTAAGTAAAGCCACAGGCCAGCTCTGATTTATGCCCTTCCCCCCAGAGAGGATTGAAGCTGCAGCTTGCTCACACTGTGCCAGCTCTCTGAACACACACACAAAGTAGCAGGGAGGCAAGAAAGCTCTGCACAGCCTTCATTGCACAGCCCTAAGAGTTGGGACAGAGAAGCTGCACAGCCACAGGTGATGGAGAAGGCAAAACCATTTCCCCAATGTCTCATTTTTATTTTCAGCAATTTGGCTTCTGACATCCTTGGACAGGAGGTGGGACATGGCCATTAAAATCCCTTCTTCTGCAGGAGAGAGTGACCCAGATATGCCAGCACACTTTGTTTTATTCTCAAGCTAGCAGCACTTGCAGGACCTAAATGGTGCTTCCAGAGCTCAGTGTGGGCAAGGAGCCAGCAGTTACTCTCAGTCTAATTGAATGATGTGTATGTATATAGATATATATAGGTATTAAAAAAGAAAGCCCCTTCTGAATGCCAAATCAGGGATGTATTCATCAGAGGTGTCCTTCTCCCAGAGCCCAGCTCTCCTGCCT